ACATCATTAAAAAATGAATGACAAGCAAAAGACTTGGAGAAAATATTCACATTGCATATATATGATAAAGACTTTTATCCAGAATATATTGAGAATACTTGCAGCTCAATAAGAAACACCTCAGTTTGTTTTTTTTTTCAAATGGGAAAAGAATTTGAGTAGACATTTCAGAAGATAATAACAAATATGCACATGAAAAGATGTGTATCATCACTATTTATCAGAAAATAGATAATTAACTAATTAAAGCCACAATGAGATACCACTAAAATGTATAATTATGGGTAAATCAAAAAGACATAATAATAAATGCCAGCAAGGATCTGAAGTAACGGGAATTCCCATAGACTGCTAGTGGGAACGCAAAATGGTATACAGCCATTTTGAATTAGAGTTTGTTTATCATAAAGTGAAACTCATATATACCATACTACCAGCAGGACTACCCAAGAAATGAGAACATATGCCCATACAAATTCTTATACATGGATGTTTACACAAAATCTATTTAAAATAGCTCCAGACGAGAAATAGCCTAAAATGTGATGTATGCTATTATGATATGGAATACTCTTCACAAAAAAAAGAACTATCGATACACACAACAACAACATGAAATGAATCTCAAACCTGTGCTGAGGGAAGAAAGCTAGTCACAAAAGGGTACCCACTATATGAGTCTACTTAAAACTACAGGAAACTTCAAGAAAGACGAGTTTAATCTATAAAGATAGAAACTAGATCTGTGGTTGTCTGGGGCCAAGGAAAGGTGTAGGAGTGTGGACACTGACTGTAAAAGGGAGCAGAGGGACTTTTCTCAGGTAATATTCGTGTTGATATCCTGATTGTTGTGATGGGTACATGATTATATACATTTGTCAAAATTCATTAGACTGTACACAAAATGGATGCATATTTACTGTATACAAATTATACCTAACCGTTTTAAAACTTACCCATGGGAAAGCAAACACTTTGAAAAAACTGAATACTTAACTCATTTTATAAGACTAACACTATTTTGATACCAAAATGAGACGAAGGCATTCAAGTACCAACTACCTTAGTGTGTGTTTATTATTAGCCTTCTATCAAGAAAATACCACACTTGTACACATTGCTATATTTAAAATGTATAACCAACAAAGACCTACTATGTAGCACAGGGAATTGTGCTCATTATGTAACAACCTAAACGGGAAAAGAATTTGAAGAAGAATAGTCATATGTATATGTATAACTGAATCACTTTGCTGTACACCTGAAACTACCACACATTGTTAATCAACTATACTCCAATATGAAACGAAAAGTTAAAAAAAAATATATATATATCTATAAAGAAAAAATAAAGTCTCTATATATTCTATATCCACCAAAAAAAGAAAAAAAAAAACACAGCACTGATCAAACATTTAAAGATACTTAGGGGGTTTCCATGGTGGCTCATTGGTAAAGAATCTGCCTGGCAATGCAGGAGACACAGGTTTGATCCCTGGTCAGGGAAGAGCTCATGTGCCACAGAGCGATTAAGCCCACGCATCACAACTATTGAGCCTGTGCTCTAGTCCGGGAGCTGCACCTACTGAGCATGCATGCCACAAATACTGAAGCCCATGAGCCCTAGAACTTATGCTCTGCAACAAGAGAAGCCACTGCAATGAGAGGCCCAAGCACAACTAAAGAGTAGCCCTTACTCACCACAACTATAGAAAAAGCCCGCATGCAACAATGAAGACCCAGCATAGTCAAAAATAAATACATAAAATTATAAAAAAAATTAAAGATACATAGATATTTGAAGCAGGAAAGGGGAAATTTGGATAAAGAGAACAATAATAATAGCTTCCTAACAAAAGTAATCTAATTTACAATTTTATCCTGAAGTCTTGCTACATTTTTCTTTCTTTAAAAAAATTCATCTCCTAACCAATCTTCTTTAAAAAGTATATCTCTACTGGAGACGAAATACTGATACTGATTTCCAAAAGCAAGACTTATATATCCCTGCAGCTTTCAATACAACTTTCGACAATTCTTCCAAAATTAGAACTATAGTTCACTCAATTGCTATTAATTAATAAATGAGTTAAGTCAAATCTAGAAGTTTTATGATTGCAAAACCTATTCATTTTTTGTGAAAAAAAAATCAGACATATATAATGGTAGAGTAACATAATGAATTCTCATCCCAGCCACATACCATCAAGATTACAAATTCAAAGTGTTATTATTTTTGTTTCATCTTTCTCTTTTCTTCTTCTTTCTTTAACAAGCAAATCTCAGATGCCCTTGCTACTTGAATCACATATACTTCAACATATATCTCTAAAAAAATATTGATTTCTTAAAAGATTTCTTTTTAAGATCATCTGTTTTTGCACAGTAAAATATACTATCTAGCTTTCTCAATATATACATGCCTGATTGAATTCTTGTGAATTCTCTTCAACATACTTTTTTTCAATTTCTAAAGCCTATGGCAGTTACATAATTAATAAAAAAAATCAAAGAAGACTCTTTTCTCTAAGGTTTCATAAAGTGTTGATAGCTTATGGCCTGCGTTAAAGCCAGACACCTTTAAATAAAGCATACAGATCAGTTTTTCATTTGACAAGGAAGCTGATTTCTTGCTTGCATAAGGGAATGAACATGGTCTAGTCTTAGCTATCCACTGCTGTTTAAAATATACCATCCCCACATAAGTATGTGTATGTGCTCAGTCATGTTTTATTCTTTGTGACCCCATGAACTATAGTGTCAACAGGCTCCTCTGTCCATGCGATTTTCCAGGCAAGAATACTGGAGTGGGGTGCCGTTTCCTTCTCCAGTACATAAGTATACCCTGGGTGCAAAACCATATTCTATTAATACACAACCTAAAAATTAGTACAAAATATTCACAGTCTAGTAACATAGAAGAGGCACTTCTCACAAATTCATGGTCAAAGATTTTTCATAGTCACTTAACATTTATCTTACTAAATGATAAAAATGATAAAAACTTTTGCCTTATACTCTATATAGAGCTCATTATACTCTGAAAGGTACCTGATATATTTACCATATTATTTTGTTTCAGCACTTTATTTTAATAATGACATGAGTCGTACCAGAGTTGACCTTCCTTAAAGTTCAACCCTACGATCTTAGAAGCAAGTAAAAAAATTTTCATCCATGAATAGGCAGTATGTTTAGCATACCGTACCTAGTTGTCTGAAGATAAAGGGATAAGGGGATAGTGACATAGGAATCAACATGGAAAGAAAGCTAATTTCTAGTGTTTCAAATACCGTTTTTGAATTGAAGCATTCTGGCTTTCAATATAAAGCATTTTGTGGATTTTCCCCCAATTTTCCCTCACATCATCAAACAAGAATTAGCTGTGAAATAGTTACTCCAAGGCACATACTTCTTAATAGGTATATTCTACTTCTCTTGTACATTTCTTCTCTGTAGGGTACAAACCATTCATTTTAGGAAGAATTACAAGGATTTATCCCTAAGGTCAACAAAAAAATGTAATAAGCTTAGAGTAGCTCAGTTAGAATCTAATAAAAAATACAAAAGAGATAAACCCTCACCTTGCCTATTTAAGTGCATATAAGAATGGGGCTTGTAATGCATATGTTGACATTGACTAACTTGTGGTTGCATGAGGTAATAGTGCCCTCATTGACATATTATTCATTTGCGGCATGTTACTTGTCCTAACCTTTCAATTTAATTGAACCTAAAAGACCCTATTAAATTCAGTCTGGTTGCATAAGATTATGACAGTCATTAATGAGTCAGATTTTTAAGTGAGTTCAAGATAAACTGCCTGGTTAAGAGGGCTTTTCCTTTTGTTTCCCTGCTGTTACTGCAATGGAAACTAGAATACCAATATTTTTAGGACTTCATTAAAAGTGTAATACTGACTTTTCCTTGTGTCTGAATTAAGTCAGGTTTGAAACTTGTTGGTTACTTGAATTCACACATAAATCAATACCAATGTGGTAAAATTTAAATTGCAACTTTCAAAGTAACACAAGAGACTGACCCAAGTTTACTCTTCACCTAGGGAAAAAAAATGAACTACAGATTTATCTCAGGAATGACCTCTGAGGCAAGTATACAATAAACATTCATTTTGTTTGGTCTTTTCTCCCATCCATTTTTCTACAAAAAAAAAAACAGACTATAAAAAATTTAAGTCATAAAAACAACATCAGAAGTTCTTGCAAATAGCCTGCTTCTTTTAGTTTAAAATGTTTGACTATCTTTTTAAAGCAGTCAAACTTCTCTCTCTCCACATCAGCAAGCTTTTACATTTACTATTGCCTGTTGCTTGAAATAAAGTGAGGGTTTTATTGTGACTGGGTGGTGGATTGGGGGAGGGGAAAGTCATAGTATAGTTTTTGGCACAGATTTCTTGAAAACAAATATTAAAAACTTCAGATCCTCCTAAAAAGTAGTGAGAATGATATCTCACTACTGTAATATCAGGATTTTGCTTTTTACTGACATACAAGTATACCTGAAAATGCAAATTGCACAGCAGTAATTACACAAACCTAGAAAAGGCCATGCTCATAGCTGTATGAATAGTGAAAAATCAAAGTACACTTTATGATAATGATGTCAATAACGATTTTTAAATATATATGTATTTTCACTTAAGGAAATGAAAGATCATTTAAACAATTTGACTGTGAGAAATTGGGTGTTGAGTGGATCATGGTAAAGCTAAATTGTTTCAAATGTATATAAAAAAAACTTAAGTGTAGTGCATTCACTACTCTGAGGACACTAATCACTGAATCAGAGAGACTATTTAACAAGTCTCCAATTCTTAAGATGATTTATCCCAATACCTTAAATGATAACACTCTCTACTGAAATCAGACAAAAAGGCATAAAATATGGTTGAGTACGGGCATTTCACATAGTAGTTATTTATGAATTGCTCAAAAAAATGGAGCTCTAAAATTTATTTTGATTTTCTTAAACTCACTCACTTGTGACCAATCTCATGTGCAATGGTAAAAGCTGAACCCAGGCCAATGTCTTCATTAATGCTGCAGCTCCTTTCAGGCTCACACATTCCAGCCACAGAGGCCAAGCCTGAATAAACAGAAGGAGACACAAAGGGTCAAGCCAAGGTGTTTCAGTCTTAAAAAGCCCATACTTATAAATGCCTGGATTCTTTTTAATAACCTCCATGCACAGAAGGAGCAGTTGGCAAAAGGTTAACTTTCTAGTCATTTGCAAAATCACTGGGGGGAGTTTCACTTTGCCGGCTAGACATTAATATTTTTTGAACTGCAGTCAGTGCTGGAAAATGTCTAGACTAGGGGTTAGATTTATAAATTTTACTTCTGGTAACTTGGGACCACCTAGTAACTTGAGCCAGAAGAGGGAATTCAAGAAAGCATTTCTATTTTAACATTCTTCAGGCTGTAGAAAGCAAAATATATCCACATTATTTTTCTAAAGAGATCTGTTTAAGTTTAGTGGGTTCATAAAAATATACAAGCAACTTTTTAGTTACAAAAAAAAGAGAATCCCAAATGGTTTTTTAAAATGACATTTTTATAAAAACATAAATGAATGATTCAAAACAGAAAAAAGAACTGTTAAAGATGGGAGGTTTTTGCATTGTTTTTATTTATTTATTTATTTATTTTTGCATTGTTTTTAATTTTCTGAAATTAGTACTGCAAGTGATGCAACAATTTCTTTAAGTATTTTAATGGACAGAAAGTCATTCACACATTCGTGTGGTTCTCCCCTCTCTCATTCCCCTAAATGAAGTAGTTTTAGTAATAAGGCAAAAACTATGGTGTTAATTCACTGATTCTGGTGAAATGTTATGTTACTGAAGGCATTCTTCTCTTGGTAATTTTATTATGTAAAATTTTTAATATTTATTTCCAAATGAATACCATGCTCTGTGATTAGTCCATAATTTTAAAACAGTGCTGAGAAAAAAAAAATTTGTGTGAAAGATAAAATTTCATGTGTTATAAGGAAATAGATGCCAAGTCATACTTAACACACATATGTACTTAAGTTATTTAAAATAAACTGAAGAAACAGTAAAAAAAAATTTCATATATTAATAGTCTACTATCACCCAGGTATTAATAATTATCTTCCCATGAAAAGTGATTTCAATCTAATTCAATTAATACTTACTGAATGCAATAAACAATGTTCTGTGCTAGGAGCAATATCCCAGTTGCACTAATTTGGAACAGTGAAAGCTATCCAATTCATATTCTTACTGACAAGAAAACTCTAGAAATTGCGTTTCTATTGAAATATCAACACTTACTACCATATTGGAACAAAGTTGAGGTTAGTATTAGATTTGCTAATAGACTGTTTGCTTTTCTTACTGTTTTATGTTGGAGTGTAGGCAGGAATTGGGGAAGGAGGTAATTTCTGTCTCACAGAGTTAATAGTGATAACTTTGTTCTGCTCTTCCATTCAACTAGAAGTCTTGAGACTTGAAGTTGGGCAAGATGACTTAATTCTTTTTTTTTGGTTAATCAAAAAAATTTAATGAATATTACTTCTAAACTCTACAGAGAGAAAAAGAGAGGGAGGGAAAATATGAAAAAGTTTGCAGTCCACTATCTTTTTTAAGCTACTGTGTTCAATATGATCTATAATATGAGAAAAATAAAGCCACTCTATTTGAATATTGTTTCTCTTTTGAACTTTATGAAATCTGGTTTAAAAATTGCTAATATTTATTGCCAAATTAACATTATTTATATATCCCAAATATATTATTCAAAAGGTTATCTTTTTTTTGTTATTGTTGTTCTTGTTTTGTATGTGCCATATAGCCCTATTTTTAATTGAGAATTCTAAATGACTCCCCAAGGTGTATTTGCAAGCACAGATTTACTTCTGCACCTGCTATAAAATTGTTAGCTCTACTAAAAGAACAATCTAAGAAAGAACAGTTCTGGGAAATAACTACAATTTATTGAAAATACAAGGTATATCTTAACTAAAATAAATAATTTAGATGCTAATATATTTTTTTACAACTCCCCACCATTTTTTCTATTTTTGTAAAATTGAAGCTGTCAGTTTTTATGTGTGATTGTGTTAATAAGGGTTTGATTACCATCAGGTCATTTAGATTTCCTCAGTTTGATGGCCAGTTTGCATGCTTAAATCTACTTAGCCATGTCACAATTAGTCACCAGCAGTACTAAGCAAGACAATATCCAAGAACTGGCATAAAATCAATATGAAAGTTACTAAAAAGACCACTCAAAAAGAAAAAAACCTGATCAACCGTGCTGAGAACGTATTTGCCACATATTAAAATCAACACATGTATATATAATGCAGTTCATTCAATCTTCAGCATAAGAGATAGTATAAAAATAAATTCATAATAGTTTATAATTTGAAAAATATAATTTATATTATGATTGAATATACATTGACATGTACCCAAGTATTAATATATTGATTCTGGACAATAAAATATTCCAAAGCATTAGGCAGTGTTATTATTTACGTACCAATGAAGAAAGTATCTCAAGTATAAATAAACTGCTTTTAAGAAGCAGAATAGACTATGTACAGATCCTACATATAAATATAGCTCTACATATTTATTTCCTCACAGCATATTCGCTAGAGAATACAAGCTATAGCTGGTATCCTCTTTGGGACTTAGGATACTGTACCTAAAACTGATTAAGCACTTAATAAAGGCTTACAGAATTTGCACAATAATGGAGGGAATAAGTTAAACAGTATAGATAATTTCTACATTAAATAATACCAGTTCGTTTCTATAGTAAACACACTTATATTTCCTTAAGTGACTTTAACAATATCCTTGCAGCATAAGGGCAGATATTACTCTTAACTTCATAGACAAGGAAATTGAAGAACAAAGAGCTAAATAAACTGTAAAAGGTAATGCACTAAAACTGTCAAAGGCAGTGGTTGGTTTTTAGCTCAGGTTCCCTTCCTTTCGATTATTGTTGGTCTTGTTAACCTAAAATACTATGAAGAAAACCTTTCTGATGTGAGCTTTCTCAGAAAAAAGAGCTCTTTCTCCGTTATGATTTTAACTAGCAAACTTCTCCACCATAATACTTGTCATTGGCAAACTGGGATTTCTTCTTTCACCATAAATCCTGAGGGAAATGGCCTGAGGGAAATGGTGAAGGAGAAGCCTGGGAAAGCAGGTAAAATCATCAAGAGAAATTTTAATTTCTAAAGGGGTATTTCACTGACCTCCTCAGGGAGTCAGGTAATACCTTTTCTCCCACCTCTACTTTAAATTTGATCTTCTCAAAATTCTCATGAAGTGCATAGGAACAGATTTATAACTATTCCTTTACAGATAAGAAAAGTGAGAACTTGTTAGAGAGTCTAGAGAATTCACCTTCAGTTGCTTAACTTCTAGGTCTGTAAAAAGTCACTATGACACTGAAAAAAAAAACATAGAAAAGACTCCTTTTTTACTCCTTTTTTAAAGTAATTCTAGTTGCTTAACAATTTAGTTGACTTGAAAGCTACAATTTTCCCTCATTTGTATTTTCAGTTAACTTTTAACCACTATGAAGTTATGCTCCACAACAATCATAATTTTTTAAATTCTAGAATAGTATAGAACTGACCTAAAAATATGATATTTGGGAAGAACAAGGAAGATAATTCTGCTCTCTCTCTAAGTCTGGCTGTAATATTTTACAAAATTGGATTTTTCTCTGTACGGGTAATAAAATTTTCCAATAATATCTTAATTTACGAGGACATAATCTTTCCACAAAATTGGACCAAAAGAAGTACTGTTCTTAATGTCTCTGCATGAAGTATCTCCCAAGTTTCTTTTTCCTTTCCTTTCCTGAGATTTGAAGGTGCTTTAATTTGCCCTCAAACTCTCAGTATTTTTGGAGAATACATTACAGAGACGGACTACATGAAAATGAATGGTAACTTTTGATTTAGTATTACTGTGTGATGATTTTGAAACACCTTCTAATTTGTTTTTAATCATCGTTCTACTTGTTTCCTAATCAGTGACATATCCACAAAGGTCAGGTTTAATACTTTATAGGAATAATTTCAGATGCGCCAGAAACGAAAATTACCAAATTAATAATGATTAAAAAGTAAAACTATTGGACCAAAAAGACAATCTGAACTATCCTCCCTTTATAAAAAACTTACCCAGTGTTCCACAGGGCTTATTTTTATAAGTGCAGATATCATATCTATAGAGGAGAAAAAGAGAAACGAAATTTGTAATCTGGTCAAACTTTTTGAATATTTTATATATTCATCACATTTCTTTCATGTAGCTCTGGTTGTCAGACCACAATCAGTGCAATTATAAACAGCCAGCTGGAGTGTCGGCATTTTCAGCACTCTGGGGGACACGCCGGCCGTACTACACTCACAGCCTCTGGCTGCGAGCCAATGGGACACCTGCCAGTAAGAAAGAAAGGTTAAAGTGGATTTTTGTAATTGCAAGTTCCATAAAACCATCTACCATACTGTTTTGAAGCTAGAATAGCTTGTCTGCAGATTGCTACTGCTTCTACAAAACGCAAACGGGTGGCTTTTTATTCCCAATATCTTTTGGACCTGCTAGAACATTTTGTTTTATTATAGCCACAGACAATATTTTATACTTCTGAGCAATATTTGGAATTCCTTCAACTCTAACACAGGTTCTTGTTTTGTTGTTTTTTTTTTTAAATAGGGCAAAACAACAATGGGAATAAAATTGATATCATATAGTTTTCCTAGTTTGTATACCAATAATTTAGTGTGGTTAAAACACAAACATTTTACAAAGAACTAAAAAAATAGCTCAATAGAAAGCTTTCCTAATATTGGTCAGATACTTATTCCAATGCTGTACTACATTAAAACTCAATATAAAAAATGGAATCCATAATACTGCATATTTTAATATATATTACATTTAGAATGCTAAATCAATATTGATGCAGACATTTAAGTACTTTTATAATATCTTTTTAATCTAATCTCTTAAATCAAAGGTATTCAAAGTACTAAAGTGAAAATAAAAAATAAAGTTAAAAAGACTGAACATTTTTGTTTGCCTACAATTTATGCTAGAAATGAAAAGTTGTTTTGGAAAAAAGAATAAACTTTCACCAACTACAGGAAAATCTGTTGGAAAAGTTTTTTTTTTATTGTATATAAATGGTTAGTCCATATCACTTGAAGAAGGGGTTAATAATCAATCTCATTCTTGTTCATCAGATCAAAATGTATTTTCAAGAAACAAATATTATACTGTTGGTTATTTCATTAAAATCCCTGAAGATTCCTTTTGCCTACTTTTGAATTTCAAAATCTGATCTTGATGACTTTATATCTGAGAAAAGGGATTTCTTCTCTTCTTGCATAACTTTATCTTCTGACCATTCACACATTCACGCCCTCTTTTCCTGTAATTAGTAAACCACAGGATCGCAGTATCTGGTACACTCATAAATATAAGATGGATACCAGTACCTAGTACACTCTTGAATATAAGAGAAAGGGTACTCGGTGTACTTATCAAAGCACCAGAAAATATATTCTGGGTGTCACAATCAATTTATCTTGTGATTATATGTGAAATGCCTATGACATTACATAGACACCACCCAAACCAGCAGTCTTCAACATAACATAAACAGACCTCTCATTGGTAATGCAGATACAAATGCATTACCTATTAGTGAAGTGAAGCCTCTTAGTCATGTCTCTTTGTGACCATGTGGACAGTAGCCCACCATGCTCCTCCATCCATGGGATTTTCCAGGCAAGAGTACTAGAGTGGGTTGCCATTTGCTTCTCCAGGGGATCTTCCTGACCCAGGGATCGAACCCAGGTCTCCCACATTGTAGGCAGACGCTTTACCGTCTGAGCCACCAGGGAAGTCCATTACCTATTAAACGGAGCCTATTTCCAAACCATTAGCTTCCATTTGTACCCTTTCCTAAAGTTGATTTGCTGAAAATGCATCTGCAAGTCACCAATATTCTGTCCCTCTTTCACTTTTCATAATTAGCCTGTTTCTACTTTACAAAAAAAAAAAAGAAAGCATACTTCTCACCCATCCCAAACCTTGTCACCGTGCATTGTTCCCCTGGGGATAAAAGTCTCCTGAGTATAATGCAAGTGGATAATTCAAGAATGCATTGATCCTAGAGGACAATCCTTTATGTGAAAAGCAAGAAAAACTGAAGGGGATGATGCTTGTTTCATCCTGGGAAGATCCTGTGTCTGTCAGTCTATCTGACTGTTTATAAGTAAATCTATCTATCTATCTCATAACGAATTCAGAAGTGAGATGGTTGTCATGGAGTGTATTAACAGGCTGAGTTGATCTATAAAATAAAGACATCAAAGTTTGACTTAGCTAAGTAGTTTGGAAGCTAGGAATGATGTGCTGCTGCTGCTAAGTCACTTCAGTTGTGTCCGACTCTGTGCGACCCCATAGATGGCAGCCCACCAGGCTCCCCTGTCCCTGGGATTCTCCAGGCAAGAATACTGGAGTGGGTTGCCATTTCCCTCTCCAGGAATGATGTAGTCAGTTAGATTTTATGTAGACATTTTTTCATGAGAATGAAACAGGCACCTCCAAAGTTTTGAAAAAATTTATTTGAAGCATATACACAATATATGTTTTTAGCTATAGTCTCTGTAGCTACTTAAACTTGCAATTAAAAGTATTTTAGATTTAAAATATGAAAAGTGGTACATCATTTCTCAAAATTATTTTATGGGTCAAATTAAGCAAAAAATTGGAAAAGCACAAACAACTTATATTTCCACCTCTTAGCAGTCCTTTCTTATCTTCTTTCCTTGTTCTCATTTTGCCTATACCCTTTATATTACACTCATGATGAATATTATTTCATTCTGTCATGACTACAAAAAAACTTACACAAAGGCTAAAGACACCAATAATAAAAGCTAAAACATCCTAGACTAAGATATTTCTATTTGCATTTTCTTCAGCTTTCTCCAATCCTTGTAATATATCTATAGCATTTTCTATAAGCCATTCTATAGAGAAAAGACATCATTTCTTATTGGCTTCTTCATTCAATTCACACTCTATCCTTCTCTATTGTATACTCACAGAGAACAATTATGACCTATGCTTCACCTATAATATCAAGTACTAAAAGCAACATTTTTACATTCATTCTTTTATATACAGATGTACTGAGTACCTAGCATGTGCCCAGATATAGTGCCATATACTTGAACCTGAAAATGAACAAGTAAGCTATGGTCTATTTGGGAAAAGACACATAAGCAGATAAGTTACAAAATGTGAAAAGATGATTAAATAAATGTTAAAAAGCTAAACTTACACATAATAGAGCCAATATTTGCTAGCTATTATAATTAAGATTATTGTCACTATCAAGTTATAAACAAAATACTGTGGAAATACAGATGAAGGAAAGATTCCGTAATAGAAAACTAGGAAACAGATGCATATAGAACATAACATCTGAAATGGATTTCAAAGATCTAGATAGATAAAATAGAAAAGTAAACGCATTCTAGGTAGATAACAAAATAGTCAAAGAAGCAGAGTTTGGAAAGGGTATGGCATGTGCAGGGAACTATGAAAAGTTCAGAGAGGCTGAAACACTCAAAGTATAGGGTAAAATATCAGAATACAAATTTGGGGAGTTGTTGTGGGAAGGCTACAGTATTAAATACCCTGAATCCCAAACAGTTTTTTTTTTTTTTTTTCATATAGGCAAAAGAAACTTAAAAACAAGTTTGCACAATAGGAAACATTTTTTAAGTATGTTTATATGAATGTGTATACAGGTTAAGTTTGCATACAGATAAGTGTGGAAGGTAAATGGTGGGTATCTGAGAGTGGGAGGTGCAAGAGTGGGGAGAATATAATGATTTTTACTCTTTTTACTATGTGTGCGTTTGTTGCTCAGTCATGTTAGACTCTCTACGACCCCATGGACTGTAGCGCTGTCCGTGGAATTCTCCAGGCAAGAATACTGGAGTGGATGGCCATTCCCTTCTCCAGAGGAACTTCCCAACCCAGGGATCGACCTCTGGTCTTCTGCCTTGAAGGCAGATTGTTTATCATTTGAGCTACAGGGAAGTCTCCTAAAAATAAAAAAAAAAATATGAGGCCTTAGCATCTGAACAGGGACATGAACCCTGGACCCTCCGATTAAAAGTCTGATGCTCCAATGACTGAACTAACCAGGCAATGTATACTCTATTACATCCTCCCTAATTATTAGTCGCTGAGTCATGTCTGACACTTTGAGACCCCATGGACTGTAGCCCACTAGGCTCCTCTGTCCATGGAAATTCCAGGCAAGAACAGTGGAGTGGGTTGCCACTCTCTTCTCCAGGGATCTGCCTGACCCAAGGATTGAACCTGGGTATCCCGTACTGCAGGCAGATTTCCTTACTGTCTGAGGCACCAGGGAAGCCCAATAAATTTTTATTTAGCCAAGATTTAATCAGAAAGCATTTTGGCTATACGGGCCTCTGATTATCAACACAAGAGATAACTGATAACTAGCCTAATCAATGTTTAATACATGTTACCTGCCTTCTGAGAAACCTGTATGTAGGACAAAAAGTAACAGGTAGAACTGGACATGGAACAATGAACAGGTTCAAAATTGGGAAAGCAGTATGTCAAGGCTGTATATTGTCATCCTGCTTATTTAACTTATATGCAGAGTACATTATTTGAAATGCTGGGCTAGATGAATCACAAGCTGGAATCAAGATTACCAGGAAAAATATCAATAACCTCAGATATGCAGATGATACCACTTTAATGGCAGAAAGTGAAGAGGAACTAAAAGCCTTTTGATGAAGGTCAAAGAGGAGAGTGAAAAAGCTGTGGTCCTATCACATCACGGCAAATAGATCAGGAAAATGTGGAAACAGTGTCAGATTTCATTTACTTGGGCTCCAGAATAAATGCAGATGGTGACTGCAGCCACGAAATTAGAAGACACTTGCTCCTTGGAAGAACAGCTATGTCAAAGCTAGATAGTGGTGAAATGTATGGAGAGAGTAACATGGAAACTTATATTACCATATGCAAAATAGATGGCCAATGGGAATTTGCTGTATAATGTAGGGAACTCAAACAGGGGCTTTGTATTGGTGAGATGAAGATGGAAATGGGAGGGAGGTTCAAGAGGGAGGTGACATAGTGTATATCTATGGCTGACTG